AAAAAAAAAAAAAAAAAAAAAAAAAAAAAAAGGAATACTGGTTTAATACAAAACAGAGTAGAGAATTAATCAATATTTACACAGATCTTGGATAAGGTTATGGCACAGACTAATAACCCAACACAGCAACCCAAAAAGCAGAGTGTCAAAAAGAAGGGAAAAACCTGTTCAAATGCTTTCAACACCATCCCCCGGAGATCCCAAGTGTAAACGGTTTTATCTAGAAAAGGCATTTTAACTGGGGCTTTGGTAATCGGGGTTGATTACAGCCCCGGCAGGAGGACGTGGGTGGGCAGCGGCYGCCCGACCTCAGACCAGTTCCACTTTGGCGTTGGGATAAACAGCCACCACGTCATATCCCTCGGGGGGCTTAACCCTCTCCTTGGCGTGYGTCTCGCAGTACAGCTGCTCCTCGATGAAGAAATACCCTCTCTGCTTCAGGTTGAGGCCGCAGTCGTCGCACATGAAGCACTCGGGGTGGTAGAGCTTGTCCCGGGCTTTGACGATGGTGCCCCTGGCAGGGATGGGGAAAGCTCAGGTGAGCTGGAGAAACGACTCGGGAGGAAAGCACACGCAGGGACATGTAAGGGGGTTATCAGGGACACGATCTCATCTCTCAGGGACAGGTAAGGGTGTTATCTCAGCCCACCCAGAGCGGCCACCTCGCTCCAGGTGTGGCTTTGCTGTGTTTCTGCAGGAAGGGATGCTCCACACCCAACAGCACTGCTCCACGGCTCAATGCAAAGCAGAGCCCTAAATATCTACACTCAGCCTGGATCTGAAAATCTCTGTGAGAGCCAGCATCCTGTGAGGGGCTGTGCCCTCACAGTACTACGACTTGTGGAGCAGAGACCCCCAGCTCACAGCACTGGCAAGAACACGATTACATTTACACAGTTACAGGCATCTGCACAGCAAATCTAGCTTGAGCAGGACRTAAATTACAACAGAACATAAGTTACAATAGGTCATAAATTACAATAGAACAAAGTAGAAAAACACCTATACTTTCTGAAATAAACATCCSTCTCTGTCAGAGAGTAACTCTTCAAAAAACAAACAAAATTAACTCACAGCCCTCCTCAACACTCAAGGCGTTTCTCTCCCCACCCCTGTAAGGCAGCGAAGGAGTGCTGGTGCCATGGTGCTATTCATAGTCCCTGGGCAGCTACTATGATAAGCAGGGCATGAACCATCCCATAAATCATCCCTGCTTTGCTGCGAGATTCCCTTAAAAGGGGCAATCCAAACCGTATTGCTCAGGTTTAGATATGGTCAGAAAACAGGAAGGGATTCAAGGTACTCTGCTGTAAATTCTAGCCCGTGTGCCTGGCAGGACCCAACCCAGCCGTGTCCCAGTGTCCCTGTCCCAGCCGTGTCCCAGTGTCCCTGTCCCCACTGCACCGGGGCTCTGGTGAGCACCATACTCACACGATCCCGTTCCCACAGCGGGTGCACTCAGGAAGCATCTGCAGCCCGGACATGGGACCACCCAGCTTTGGCACCGGGGGCTTCATGTTTCGGGGGTTGCTCAGTTTGTCGAGTTTTTCACCTGCCAAGAGTTACAAAGATACAGATTGAAAACTCAGCCTCCTCTCTGGACATTTTTTTTTTTTCTCTTCCCCGCCCCCCCCCTCTTTCTTTTTTCTTTTCCCTTAAGGAYTCAGGTGTGTCTCTGCCTGTCAAAACAGAATCTGCCATTTCTTGGAAGTTCCAGGACAGCACCAGCTCAATTCATGGACCTTGTTAAAGTACAAAGCAGCTGTGATCTAGAGATGTGAGGTTCATTGAGTTGTAATACTACTTAGGGAGTTAAGAATAATGAATAATGAAGAGCTCAGAAAAGCTGACAAAAAAATAAAGAGGTTCCATCACACCAACATTTCAGGTACACTTGGTAGATCCACTATCCATCATGGAGAAGGAGATGAAAGCGTTTTGGATAATGAGGCAAATTGAACCAAACAATAACACAATCACATGCACTTTTCTTCCTAGAGCATGCATTTGAGCTCAAATAATCTAAACCAAAATATTGTGATAGAAGATAAGGTTTTCTGAGGCACCAGGCCTCCTTTCATAAAGGTCCAACAGCGGGAAAGGAAGCAATGAAGGTTTCGTGCATCGGAGCAATATCACRGCAGTGTTTTCAGTGCTGCTGCCCACATTCCCTATGGATCATCTGCCATCTGCCCTCAGATTCTGGACAACACCAACACTCTTGTTGCCAACCCCTGGGTCATTTAAAAGCTCCCAGTATCGACTGCATGGTTTTCCACAGCTGACAGCTGACTGTTCTGTTTGGCATTTATTGATCTGTGATTCCTCTGTGATGGCTGAAGGTGGTAGGAAGGAAAAGCTCCTGAAGAACGACCCTTTGGCTCAGTTTGGAAAAGCAGCAGAGGAGMTCTTGGATGAACAAGCCATTCTCCAGAGCTCTTATTTGCCACACTCCACGAGTTTCCAAGGTGTTTGTAAACCTGTCCTTGCAGCCCTGATGCCCAGGTCTCAGTAGGGCACAAGCACTTTCTGACCCAGGGGGCTGCACACACTCTGAGCCACTTTGACAAATTTAGAGCAAAATCCAGTGCAAGTGCCTCCCACAGCTCCAGCAACATCTGTGCCTTTCCTGAAGGGAACTTTTAGTACCTGGAGCCAGTGCATCGTCACTGCTGGTTGCTCACTGGGTCACACGATTTRTTTGGAAGGGCATTGCTTGGAAAAGCTTCCTTCCATGAAGAGACCCCTGCTCCCCCATCCAGCGTGTTTCAGGAATGTCTACTGTCCTGGGCCCAGCTGGGAAGGAGGGTGCATGGCTGAATCATCCCCTGGGGTGCACAGACACCTTCACACCACAGCAATGGCTCTGACACAGAGGCCAACACTGCCAAGCAGTTTAAACCAAAAGGACCAGCTTCCCACCAGACCCCACTTCCCAAGACACAATAGAGTGTCTGGCAATGCTYAGAGCTTTGATAGATGCAGGAGTGTCTGCCCAAGAGCTGAGCTGCTCCCCAGGAGTCCCCCCAGTGCTCAGCAGCTCCAGCCAAGCCCTTGTCGAATCCTTCCTCTGCCTTGCTGGGAATAAACTGAAACAACTGCTCAAGCTGCTGGCTTCCCTCAGCGTGAGACACAGCGTGCTTGGACTAGACACGCTCATCTGCCAACATTTAACAGTTAAGCTGTCACTGTCTCTCATGCAGAGCGCTTGGATAAGCTGCTTAAAAAAGGAAAGAATGGAAAAAAAAAAAGCATTTTACAGCAAAATGAACCCTGCAGAGAAGGCTGCTTCCCATCTTCCCAAACTGTGGGTCATTTCCTTCTATTTACCAACCCAGTCTAAYGGTGATTTATGGTCTTCAGCAGGGCAGCAAAATGCTTCAACTCCACCATCTCAATCCCGTTATGGCTGCAGTGTTCGTCCTTCCTGGGTCATGGGTGCCTGTGGAGGTGGGCACTGCCATTCCTCTACCTCAGCACAAAGCACTGCTCCCTGAGGGTGTGGGAGAGGGCTGTAATGCTTCCAGTAGAAACACATTCCATATAAAAAAAGGTTGCAGTCCAAGACATTCAGCTCCTCAGCAGAGGAGAGCTTGACTTTAAAAGGACAATGCAGAGCAGGCTCAGGTCAAAATGTATAATTTTAGGCTTAAGGATAAAGGAGCAGGGGTAGCAGCTGTAAAACAAACACAGCAGGAACACTTGTGGGGATTGAAAACGTGCTGGAACATCACAGAGCTTCATGCCAGCCGAGATGCTTTTCACTTAATTTCTCATCCCTTGTGAAATAAACAGCGTCAGAACGACCAAGGCACCAGTGAGGCTGTGCCTGCAGGCAGACACACAKCCCCTCCACACCTCTGAGATGAGAGGGAGGGTGGCAGAGCCCAGGAGGTGACAGTGACAGCCTATGCCATGCTGTACCCGACAGCAGCTCCTCAGGCTCCAGTGGAACACACAGTGTTGCACTGGTGATGGGCTGGGATGAGAGASTGCTGGGATGAGCACACATCCAGGGCTGGCTGGACAGTCCCAGCATGTGGGGACTGTSCTGGCATCTCCTTTGTTCCCCATTTCCCCAGCCCACAGCCTTTTCTTTCTCCCTTCCTCCCAGCACTGGGTTTCTGCCAGCCCAGGGCTGTGGGACGCGGGGAGAGGCAGGGACAAACCAGCAAAGCTTCAGTTTTGTTCCCTTTTCCTGGCACAGAGGAGGGAGGRAGGCAGCAGCGTTACTAATTGGGATTAACACAGTCACTTCCCATTTGCTTCTTCTGAACGAGGAGAATGGGGCAGCAGCAGATTTGTCCTTGTTCTTGGTGAAGGACTTGAAGGTTCTACTGGGGCCTGTATTTGACATCAGTTTTTCTGCCAGTCCAGGAGCTGTAATACTAATATGAAATACAATAATCCACCCAGTGCTTCCAAAGTTGATCCTATCTCTGCAGCTATGGCTCAGTCCCACYGAGAAAACCAACACTGCTGGAATTCCACAATGATCAGAAGTTACCTGCAATTGTGCTACTTGTGAAGCAAGAACCAAAATCCTTCCAGTTAAAGAACAGGCTTCTCCAACACTTCAGATACACAGAAACTGAAGTGCAACAGCCTAACTCRCTGCCTCTCATAATGAGATTTACAGCAGTTGGTATTTTCCCATAAAATATACGTTCCTGGATTCACATGATTGGACTGTGGGSCCCTTGGAAGGAAGCAGAAAGAGGAGTCTTGCCCTTATGATTGTAAAGCAAAGCCTAAAAATTTGAACGTACAAGCCCCAATGGACTTAAGGTTGAAAGGCAAATAAAAAGAAGCTGAAATGTATAGATTGGGGATCTTATTATTTAATGTGTTAACGACATGGGCAGGAAGCTGTGACAGCCCTGAGAAGTGAGCCAAGAGCTCCTGATCTCTATCCCTGCCTTGCTGAGGACCATCCCACATCCTTATGCAAATGCCATTTACTTCACCAGAGCAGGTTCTCCGACAGGGATCTTACACAACTGCTTAAAGCCATYGCATTTCATAAACCATCTCAGGGAAACAGCTCCACGCTGGCTGCAGACCCAACTTTCACACGGTGCTCAGCTCAGACACACAGTTTGGTAAGATGGACTATGTGAAACCCTGATTTGAGACCTGCCACCCTGGAGATCTCCTCACAGGAGGGTGCTTGGGTGCCAACCTCCTTACCATTCTCACCAGCCTCCAGCATGCCCTGTAAGTATCGGAAGGATCCAGACTGCTTTGGCTCYGAAACGGGCTTTTCATAGTCCTGCAGCATCTTGTAGACATCCGACTCCACATCAATCCCGTTTCTGTTCCGTGGGAGAGACTTCATGGGGTCAATGCTGGTGTAAAGCAAAGAAAGAAAGGCTCAAGTCGAACAGAAACAGYGACTGTCAGCTCATCATGGAGGCATTGAAAGCTCCACATTCCCAGAGATTCAATGAAGCACCTCTGTTCCCATGTGTTTCCCTGCCTGGAGGTATGTCTGGCCCAGGGACAGCCACTGAACCAAGGAGGATAAACTTGTTCCCTGTTGGGCTCCAATTGAGCAACACAGCAAGGGCTGGCCCAGTTACCAGATGCCTTCAGGAAAGAAGGCAGCTGCTGGCAAACACTGTAAATTGCTTTGCCACCCATGGAATTTATTGAAAAAATGGGAAAAACATGCATTTCATTAACTGTGTAGGGCCAGGGCATGCACCYACCAGCATTAGGGCATTTGGAGAGTGTGTGCCAGGCAGGGCACCCCTAACCAGCCCCAAGGGCCTCTTGTGAAGCTGCTGCTGCTGGAGGTGCATCACAAGCACAGCCCCCAGCTTAACTGAGAAAAACACCCCACAGGGAGTGGGACACAGGGACTGCCCTGTAAAACCCCTCCAGCCTCCAGCCTGGAGCTTCTCCTGCTCTGTATGGGGAGCACTGGGGGTGCACAGACARCAAGCAGCCATTTAAACCATTATTACAGCTCAGAACATCAAAACATGAAAAGCATAGTCTGGATTCAAAAATATTTCAGGTCCATGTTTAAATGTCCTGCTGAGAGGAGCTGAATCCAAGTGCTGTTGTATTCCAGAGGCCCCAGTGCACAGCACAGCTCCAGGGGAAGGGGCTCCTTTTCCTTTTTGCAGAGAAGGTCATCAAGGTCATTTCAAAACCAATAAAAATAGCAAGAGCCCTGAACTCTGTCAGSTTCACATATTTGAGCCATCATCTGGTTCATTTTCTCCACCAGTRTTATATTCATGTCTGCTTAAACAAATAAACAGAAGAAGTAACATTCACTTTCAAAGAAAGAAAGAGAAAAAACAACTCCAGACACAAGTCACTCTCAAAGAAAGACCAGAGCTCCATATTCTGGTGTGACTCCCCAGCAGCTCAGGTCCCTGGGGGAGATGAGGGCCAGCCTGGGTGCTGGGGCTGAGCCAGGGACCCATCCCCRTGACTCCCGGCCACTCCAAACCCTGCATGAGCTCTCCAAGTGCTTGTCTACCCTGCTACAGCTCACTCCTGCATCAATTGACACATTTTCAATGGAGAAGGGCAGGTTTTGGCCAGCCCAGCCTCATCAGACACCAGTTAAAAGAGAATGCACTCCTACCCCAATCCTACTCAAAAAACCAAGTGAATGTCCTGGCTTTTGGCTCACTTGCAGATAACACCAGATTTTGTTCTCTGTATTTTTTTTTGCAGTTCTCCTCTTTCCAACTTCATTAACTTTCCCGGAGCAGCACAGGGAATAAGCTGGCTCACAGCATCACTGAAACACAGATTCAGACACAGAGTTCCTGAGCTGAAAAGAAACTCTCTTTGCATGTGATACAGACRTTACTTTCTTGGAGGATCTTTTGCCAGTTTGGAGGAACATAAATCAAGATCTGCATAAGCCATGTGAAAGCATCCCAGCCCACAACCTGGMCTGTCTCAAAGTCTGAGTTATCCACACAAACCATTCTTGGCTACACAAAGGCCTTTTCTTTCCTAGGAGCATTATTTATCCCTCAGCCTCCTGGACAGCTGCACTCAGCGGATCTTACACTTATAAACATCCCAGTTACTGCAGTTCATCTTTTCAGCCAGTATCTCCAGCTTCCAGGGCACGTATTTGCTTCTGGGTCTGTGGCAAGGTGATTCCCATTCCTAGGATGGCAGCACCCTCTGTCCTGCCTTGGATAGACMCTTCGAACAGTGTGTCACTGTCTGTGACACTCCAGAGCCATGGAACTSTTTTCAGGTTAGAAAAGCCCTCTAATATCATCAAACAATTCCCCCRGTACTGCCAGGGCCACCACTAAACCACATCCCCAAGAGCAACACCCACATGTCTGTTAAGTCCCTCCAAGTATGRGGACTCCACCATAGCCCTGGGCAGTCTGTGCCAGGGCTTGGCAACCTTTTTGGTGAAGAAATTTCTGCTAATAYCCARTTTAAACCTGTCCTCCTCTTGTCTTCCCTGGCATTAACCCCAGCCAGGGAACCATACCCAGGGCCCACTAATCCACCTACTCACATCAGCAACAGAAGGATCCTACAGACAGCTGGAGAAGCAGCAGCTCACCCAAGATGCATAACTCAGCATTTCTTCAGCATCACAACTTCAAT